GGTTTGGGGTATGTCTTTATCAGCAGCGTGGAAACGAATACAGATGAGTAGTCAAAATTGGGAGTAGCACTTTTTGGGGAACTGGGTTGACATTATGCCTCTGGGATTTTTTTATGTACCAATATAAGAAATGATTGTGTATGAATTATCTGCATTTTCTGTGTCCCTAGATTTGTCCTGACTCATAGGACAAATTCTTTTTAGAGCCAGGAGAATTTTGACTCTAATTATCCAGTATGCTTACTTTTATTAGTTAGAACTTAAAATTCTGTTGTACTTCCCACTTGGCTGTCAGGAATCTTCATACACACATTTGAGTTTAAATGATAAATGTTTTTTTAGACAATTTTTTTTTTTTTTTTTTTTTTAAATAAGATTCTCATTCTGTCCAGGCTGGAGTGCAGATCACCTCCTGGGCTCAAGTGACCTTCCCACCTCAGCCTCCCAAGTAGCTGGGACTACAGCCACGTGTCATCAAATCCAGATAATTTTTATATTTTTTGTAGATACAAGGTCTCAGTATTTTTCCCAGGTTGGTCTTGAATCCCTAAGCTCAAGTGATCCTCCCACCTTGGCCTCCCAAAGTGCTGGGATTACAAGTGTGAGCCACTATACCTGGCCTTTGTAAGTTCTTTAGCCTTTTTTCCCCCCCATTCCCCAAAGCCTTTTAGAAATTTTGTCTTGGTCTTTTTATTGTCGGTTAGGTTAGTTAGGTTAGGGTTTTATTATAGTAGCACATGTCCTTGAAATTCATTTTGGAAGTAGGCAAAACATTGCCATGGAAATGGAAGGCTGAATACAATGTCACTTGTAAGCATTCCAAACTGTTTAGAACCAGGATATTTCCAGGGAGCTGAAGAGCTGAGGGCAGGCAGAGCTAGCTTTTGGTTATTTGGGATATTATTGCCAGCTTCCTCCCAGGGCCATTGTCACCACCTGATCATTTGAGTTTTAGTTTCTCTAGTATCAAGATACTGGATAATGACTGACCAGGCAAGTATAGGGGTTCTCTGGCTTTTAATCACTAGGGCATTAGTCCTTCTTCTCTGGCCCAAGTGCAGTCTGGGGATTCAGAACCATAAAGTGTAAGAACTGGAAGGGACCAGGTACCATTTAGCCCAGTCTTCTCCTTTGATAGAGTCAAATGGGTTAAGGAATCCTTTTGAGGTTATGAAGCTAGCTAGTGGCAGAATGAGATGAGAACCTTGGTTTCCGGACTGTGTTAAGGTCCATATTTATTAGTTTAAGGACTCTTAGACCTTTTGAACGTCTCATTATGCTTGCATTTTGCAAACAGCATTGGATAGATTTTCTGCCATTACCTAGCTGTGTGACCTTTGGCAAGTCAGTCTTCTCGAACCTAGTTACCCGTTGGTAAATGGAGATAACATATTCCCTACTTGATTTACAGAGTTTCTTTCCACCATTCCAGATACAAACCAGTTGCATATACCTCCATCTTTTTCTCCTTCCTCATTTTAAAGGAAGACAAAGATATGAATCTGTCAGGCCCAGACTCTTCACTGTGCATTGCATTCCAGTTCCTTTCCTCTCAGCTCTCATGAAACTTGGGTCAACAATCTCCATTTGTCCCATTGCGTTTTTGTAACGGCAGTGCTTTTGTTCTCCCATGGGTCTTTGTGGAGTTCCTTTCATGAACCATCTTTCCTTTCCTTTTCATCTGCTAGTCTTCCTTAGGGTTTTGACTTCTCTGTTAGTCTCTCCCTGACTGCCAAAGATAGCTCACTTTGTCTTTTTAGTGCCCTCCTGAACTCTGGATAGTGTAAACTTCTGGAAGGTAGAGATGTTTTTATTCACTTTTGTATTTGCATCTGAATTATATGAGGTGATATAGGTGAAATCTCAACTGTATATATACACATGTATGTGCACACACAATGTCTGTTTTTATGTTCATGTATATATGAATTCAGACTATCTCTAAACCTGTTGCAGAATATTTTGTCTCTGGGAAGGAAATTTTAAATCTATATCCTGTCCTCTCAGCAGGCAAGGATCCAGGCTAATTGCCATCCTTTGTCCGATCAGCTTCCTTGTAGAGTGAAAATAAGCCACAGTATAAGGTTTAAATTTCTGGTAGCAGAGACAAGTTATGATAGGTAGAACTAGAGTGAAAATAAAACTAGGGAGGGGACAGAGCTAAGTTCTGTGAGAAATAATTGAGTTAATAGAGACTAACTATAGAAGTAGAAATAATCTGAGTTTCCATTTATTCCATAAACAGTAAAGTTTAAATGTAATATTCACTTTTCTCCATGTACTATAGCTTCAACTTGGAGCATATTATTCCCCAAACTGTCCTTTGAAGTGTTAATTAACTAGCTATTTAATTATTCTCTATTATCCTCTTTGGAGATTGGGAGCTAGAAGAGCTGCTAAAACCCTGAAAAGTAATCTCTAGGCCCAGGGAAGGAGCTCCACCCTGTGATTTGAACTTAATATTTAAAAATGACTTATTTTAGACTAAACTTTAGAGCACAGCCTCTCCATTTTAAATGTGCACACAAATTACCAGATCCTGTTAAAATGCAGATTCTGATTCAGTTGGTCTCAGGCCTAAGATTCTGCATTTCTTGCAGTTCCCTCAGGTGAGGCTAATGTGCTGGTTCATAGACTACACTTTGAGTAGCACGTTTAAAACAAGAGAGCATTAGAAGTAGGAGGGCTTCTGAAGTTAACTCTGCATACCTGAATTCATGGTTATGTTGATAGCAGAAGGCCTTGGCTTGGAGAAAGAAAATATTCTAGAAACACTTCTGCCATGTCCTAAATAAATAGTTCATCACATCTTGGGAATCCCAGAGGGGATCACTACATTATAACAGTAACTGATTTTCATGAAAATCAGTTGGAATTCTGTTCAGTGACTATCTAAAAGGCAGGCAGGAATGTATTCATTAAAGTTGTTATATTTTCATCAGGATGATTAAAATCAGTTATATGGAGAAATTCAACAATGTGGAACAAAGTCACCTATGAGGAAATTTTCATTCTTGAAAGATAAGCACTTAGTTTAGTACTTTGCTAATAGGCTTTTTGAGGTGTTGTCTGCCACTTGCCATCTTTGTCTAGACCAGCACTAGCATTCTAGGTTGTTCTTTGGGTGAGAACTATAAATGGAGAAAGGAGGTCTGGCATTGAATCTTGTCTTTATCACTTAATTGTATTGAGATCTTGGGAAAGTTCTCAGTTTCCCTGAGCCTGTTTTGCTACCTGTGAAACAGTCATATTACCATTTCATCCCAGAATTTTTAAGGAGAGGATTGGTGAATGATCTTGGCATAGTTAATATCCTTTTACCATTATTTTTCTCCTACTTTGATCCTGGTAGGCAACTTGCTGTGTGTCATTTGGCAATTAGTGATTTATTGGCTTGGCTTCTATTGGTGGGATAGCTGTTGTGAGGTATGCAGTCCTTCGTTTTGGAAATCCTGGGAGCTCAGAGAGAAGTAGATATTCTTGCTTCTCAAAAACAGTGGGGCTCCCATGGATTTTTGTCTCTCTACATATTTTATGTTAAACACACTTATTCCTCCCATGCGGGAAAAAGTTAAAAGTGATCAGTGACTTGTCCCTGGGTCCCTTTCCTAACAGGTGGTCCTAACTTCAGGCTTGTGTGTGCTGTGTAAGCTTCTCTAGCTGAGGTCGTGATAAGATCTCTTCCGAGTCCTCTGGAGTTAGGATGTGGCTGGAGTCCAGTTTCTTTTGTTCTTTAACCTTTCAGTTGCAGTGGCCTTGGTCTGGAGAGTTGTGATTTGTCCTTGGTTAGATTACGCACATCCAATACTTGGCTTTCTTATACTCTTTCCCTCCCAGTTTTGCCTGACTCTTAACTTCTGTGGGTTCTTACCTTTAAAAGCTCACTACTTGGAAATGAGAATTCAGTTGCTGCTCTGTGATTGTTCCTGTGTCCTTCCCATCTCTGAGGTTTTATTGGCAGCCTATGTTCCATATCCTGCTGTTCTCTGCTCAGACCTTATCAAAACAATATTTAAGATGACTGATTCGTTAAAGACTCAGCTTTGACTTCTCAGAAATAAGACTGCATGTCATTCTCATTGGCCTTAGTGTTTCCTAATCAGGGCTTAAACCCTAACTTTAATCTGTAGTTCTGCAACCTATCTTACTTTACATTTTTAGTAGTACCTGAAACTACTTCTAACCAGTGACCTGGATTCAGGAATCTCTGGTTTCAAAATTGCTTCTAACTTGCTATATGACTCTTACCAAATAATTTAACCACACTGGGCCTAAATTTACTTTTAACCTGTAAAACTAGGATTGGATCAGTTTTTCAAATGTTCTTTGTTGTTGGTTGGGGTGGGATGGGAATGACAAGAAAGCTCAGTAGGTAGGCTCTTCATTCAATGAAGATTTTGTTTATATACTGAAGGCTTTCACTATTAAATAACTTGGAAAAACTGCTGGACTGGATGGTCTTTTAAGACTGCAGGTACCAAGCCTTTGGCACTCTAGGATCCATCCCTTTTAACAGTAGCATCTATTTTTAGATGAGACAAGGATACCTAAGCTGTATTACAAATGTAGTTCCAGACACATCATGGCACTCCACATCTAGTCTGGTTCCTGATACTTTTAACCAATGCTCTGGCTTGGCCATTCCCGTAGTGCCCGTCCTTTTCCTTTGGCTCATACTATCCTCCTCAGCACAAGCATTATTTGTAAGCCTCCCTTCCCCATTTGATACTACCCAATCAAGACTCTAGTATAAATGTTCTGTCCCTTCAAGAAACCTTCCCCAGTTGGCCATTTTCCCAAAGTACATTTTCCATTCTCATGACTCAGTACACTTTGCTTTGTTTGGTAGTTTTATGTGTAAAGCTCAGAGAAGGACTGGATCTTGGGTTTCTTTATTGTAAACCATCCCAACACCTTGCATTGCACTATACTGAAGGTAACATGGATCCAAGTCATATAGCTTAAAAATTCTTTTCTCTTTCAGGATCGAATCATCAATTTAGTTGTTGGCAGTTTAACATCCTTATTGATTCTAGTAAGTATCCTCATTTTGTGCCTCACCCAGGCTCTTAGCCAAAGTTTTGAAAACTTTATCAATTATAATTAACTTTCCAAAAAGTTAAGTGCTTTTATTACCACAAAATTGCAATTGCTAATTGGAGTAGCTAATTTAATTCCGCCGCACCCCCAGGTTGAATATGTGAAATGGTACAAGTCAGACAACTTGGTTTTCAGATAATTGAGTTTACCATGTTTTGCCTAGTAAATTTGTAAAAACGTCAGTGTAGCCACTTCCTTCTGTCATCATCTACCATAATTCCCCATTTCTATTAATTTTGTTCCTAAAGAAAATATCCATTACCCTATGGTCAAGTTTTAAAAGATGTGGTCACAGTGTATAGCAGTTTTACTGTATACATACTGTAAAATACATGTGGGAGCTATCACAATAAAATTTTTAAAAGCTGTATTTTCCATAGTTTGACATTTTTCTGGCACATTTTCATTAAATTTGATAATTTGTTTTTTCCATGGCTTCTTAATGAAAAGATTGCATATAATGCTGCATCTGTTAGAAACAGAACTACACGATATTAGGTCTTTCAGTGTGTTTCATAATGTTATAGCAAAACCGGCTTTGATTATATTCATTTTGCTAGGAATGTTTAAAATAACAAAATGGCTAGAACTTTTTCTAGTAGAATCATTAATTCTGGGAGTGAGGTTTAGTTAAAGAAGTTATTTTGGGATCAGCTAGTTTTACTAATGTTTTCTCTCCTTTCATAAGGGAAAGGTTAGAAAAGGAGGAAGTACTAAAAACTCAAACATATTTATAATTACTCTAACATTCTAGAAAGCAAACTTGGTGGCAGATGTAATTGTTGCCTAGACTCCAGTTGGTAATTACCAAGTCTTGGAATTACTATTAAGGCCTTACATAATTTCTCTTCATACAGGTAACGCTGATCAGTGCTTTTGTTTTTCCTCAACTACCTCCAAAACCGTTGAATATATTCTTTGCTGTCTGCATCTCTTTGAGTAGTATTACTGCCTGCATACTTGTAAGTACTGTTGAGAATTTAACCAGTGTTCTTGAGGGTTTAAGTTGCAATGCATAGGACAAAAATTTTCAGCCTTGGGTCTATACCAAAGGGTATCTCTTAATTATATCCTCATCCTCCCCCTAAAAGTATGTTAGAATTCTCAATAAAATCTGAGTTTTCTCCTAAATCCCAAAGTTGTAACCCCAAAGAGAAACTCTTACTCCCTTGATAGCTAAAAAAAAAAAAAAGAAAGAGAAAAAAAAATTAGTGGGAAGACTTAGGTGGCCAGATATTTTAATTTACTTAATTCATCTTCACTCAAGGACTATATGAGGACCAGCAGTCTTCGGGAAATGCCAGTTACTGCTAAGGGATGAGATAGCACACTCTGGATTGAATTCTAATGATTACAAAATTAGTCTATTTTAATCTACATGTTTGTCTCCCACAGTGGAGGTATTAACACCAAAACCTCCTGGGAAATCTGAAGCTGCAGTTGTAAAAATGTTTGATTTACTGCAAATATTTGTTTTATGGTAAAGAAACAAAGATGGTGGTGGCTCCTCAGTGTTCAATCATTCATTAGTTGGCTACATTGTTTCATGTTCCTTGAGAGGCAGAATCAAAAGAAAAAACAATTGTTTTGATCTCCGTGGGGCTTAAATCAATAGTAATTTGCTTATCTGAGTTAAAATTAAAGAGGAGACATCTCCAAGTGTTCTAATTCACTGATCCTGCTATGTACTCCCATGACCCGAAAAAGGACTGGCCCATCGCACTTTGGGAGCTCTCCTGTTCCCCTAGCTTGAAGCCTAAAGTGACTAACAATGAACTAACTTAATCCAGATATACTATGGAAGCCCTATTTTGCAGTCTGAACCAATTGTATGAATCATATGAGTCTAAATGTTGTCTTCCTTTCCTGTTAAGTAGTATGTCCAGGTATATGTTCTTGGATAGCTTGCCAGATGACTGGTGGAGTATACAGGTTTGAACATAAAGGAAAGTAAACTGAGAAAGTAGGAATAAGTATGATCTTGGATGTGGAAACTCAGAGTAAGAATTAAATTCTGACTGCACTGGTCTCAGGAATGTAGAGATGTCAGAATATGGAGAATGTCTGTCTCATTTAGGGGAATAAACAAATACTAATGAAATTTGAAATTGGTAGAAAAAATGTTATGTTTTAAATTTTAACTGTTTATACACTTTAATTCTTCTTTTTTTAGATCTACTGGTATCGACAAGGAGACTTAGAACCAAAATTTAGAAAGCTAATATACTATATCGTATTTTCTATCATCATGTTGTGTATATGTGCAAACCTGTACTTCCATGATGTGGGAAGGTGAGGCTGCCGAGGAGAAGTACTTACCAGGACTCTTCAAAATGATACATTAGGACAGTGAGTAATTTTTGGATAAGGTATGCTGAAGAATCTCCTGCAGAAGTCTGATACATGATTTTCATGTTAATTGTAAATGTAATTCCCTCTTGCAAGGGAGACATAGCCTAGATCACTTTGCTTTTTCTTTAAGGAGCTGACGTTGTACCTAAACATTCCAACCCTTAAAGCTCAAACAGCACAACATTTCACTTTTGAAATGAACATTTTTATAATGTAATTGCACGGCAAAAGGCTATGTAACAAACAAATCTTGCATTTTAAGACAAATATTCTTTTATTTCTGTTAAACTGAATATACAGTTGTTCCCTAGGCAACCGACTTTTGCTTATAACTACAATTTAATTTCACGTTAACAAAACAGACAGTGAAAAGACAACTTTGTGAAGATCTAATTACAATAATAAATAAAATAATTTATACAAGGTTTTTTTTTTCCTTGACTTTTCTATAGGGGTCATATTCATTAAAAAGCCCAAAAGGCTACCTTTGCCTTAACCCTTCTGTAGTATAGGAATGACTCTTAGATTTGTTTCCTTTTGTTATAGAAGCAAATACTGTTTTTTTAAAAATTGCCTGAGATGAGAGGTTATATTGTACCCCACCACCTAACAAAGTGGACGACAAACTATTTTCTGGGTAATTTATGTTGCAAAACATGTAATAAATGGTCACGGTATCAAGGATAGGTAACATTACTTCCTTCCTCATTTAGTTTTACTTCAAAGTGCTAACTTTGTAAACTAATGACAGTGGTTTCTGAGGGGGTGAAAACTGCTTAGATTTTGGTGGGTTTTGTTACTATGCTTATCCATATTCCCTTTAAAAGTAACAAAAAACCTGTAGTGAATTTTAACTCTTTTAATGCTTTCCTGTTAACCCTGCCTAAATCAGCTCCCACTGCCAGCAATGGGTTAATCAAACGTAACCACCACAAGACCACCTCCTAGGTCTCTGTACTTGTATGCTGGTCAAGTCTCAAACTTAGTCTTCTTGAAGATCAGAAGATCACTGGTAAGCTCTCATGTTGAAATGACTTATCTGAACTACAACCAGGCTTACTTGAAAGGAGACAGTGCCATGTCTGATCTTTAGAGAAACTGTATTTTAAACCACAGCAGTTAAGCTTTCGTGATTCTAAACTTTTCTTCGTGGCTGAAGTGAATGAAGTTCCTTATTGCCATGTAACATTAAACATAGGGATTTATGCTTAAAACTCCCAGCCTCCACTCAACTACACACTGTCATAAAACTCAACTTCAGATGATGTATTTAAAGGAGGTAAGAAGTCATAGCAGCAACAATGTGTGGCTTAAGCACTGTGGCTATTTAAATTGGTAAATTAAGCCTCTTAGGGGTTGCTCCTATTTCTTTGAAGATGTTGTAATTAACAGTGTGGCTTCTTTGCTTGAACTGCCTATTTCTAAGAATTATCCTAATGACAGTTTACCAAATCTTCGACATCCTTTGAATCTTCTGAAACAGGACTGCCCAAGGATGATCCAATGATATTTGATTCTTCCTGATGATGTTGGAGTATGGGATCTGTAATGAGTATCCAGTTAGTTTTAAATGTATATATTTATTCTCTAGTCCACGTCAAGAATTTAAGGTATTCTACCACGGTGTAGAACTTAAGACTAGTAGCTTATTGGATGAAGAAAGACTGAAACAACTGAATTAAATGTCTGATTTTTCCACCTAAAATTTATCAGGCACATAGTAAGTATTATATTACGGTACCTGTTAGTGTTGTCAAAGGCAAGACAGATTCAGCATCTATAACATCAGATGTCTGGATAAAGCCATGTGGTGAAGGAACGATAAGTATTGTTTCATCATCAATTGTTTGATCAACTTGTTCTTCTATAGTGGGAGACTCTAAACCCTAAATAACATTAAAAGAAAAGAGAGACTGACTCATATTCCTTACTAGTCTTCCTTAAAATCCCATGTGTAGGTTAAACAGACTTAAACATGACCCATTTAAAAATCAGAATATAAAATAAAAAGTTAAGGTCTCACAGGGACCAAAGATGACCTCACGATCTAACATACCTTTAACAAAAGGAACTTACAAGGACTGGGTCAGTTATAGGTCAGCTGAATATAATAGAAGAAACAATGCTGTTACAGTGTAGGATGATATTACTAACCACTCACCAGAAAATGCTTCTATGGGTTCTAACAAACATTTCTCAATGTATTGTAGGTAAAGAGGGAAAAGTTTTAGTGACGAACTATAGTAAGATAGAACATGGTTTTCTTATTCTTCCTGACTGCCACAGATCTCTGCCTGCCTATTTCTGCCAGCAACAACACTGTGAGGTCTGAGGTAGGGGTTTGAGCTTAATTTCATGAGTCTAAAGAAAAAAGTTTCCCAAACTGCAGGTTTGAGGCTCAAGGCAAGAACCCACTGAGTTGTTCTTTAAGTACAACTTACCTCGGTAACATAAGCACTGGCTAAATCAGAGGGTGATTCCTCTTGTTTAAGGTCGGTGTCAGAAATTTCTTCTTCTGTTCTGACCATAACACTATTCATCAGTTCTGTGCTATTTTGGTCACTGAATTTGGATACATGAGCATCATTAAATGATGGCTCCACAGTCATCTTAGGGTGATGAATTTCATCTGGGAAAGTGTCTGCTTCTAGGGCATCTGGAGGCTCAGGAAAATCAGATGACTGAATATCACTATCTACTGTCAGTTCTGCTTGGGATATGGAAGAAGTGATGTCCTCTGTGGCAACAGTCTGAATGATGACTCTTGGTGTGTGACACTGCACTGTAACATTATCACTTGTGTTCAACAAATGTTCTGGCTATAAAACATTAAAGAACCTGTTAAAGTTGTAAATCAAATGACATTTATGGGGGTACCTCACTGTCTCCCCCATCTCTTACCTCTGGAACTGTAAATACTTTTATCACTATTTTTCTACAGCCCTTGTCCTTTACTTGCTAGGGCCTTTGCTCTCCTAATGTCCCTATTCTAATGTATAGCCATCTTACATAAAGAGAAAGGATGAAACATACATTCTAGTGAAGGCAGAGTGATGGTGTATAACACTGTGCCTGGAATAGCAGCAGTGGGAAGAACTGTTTAGATAACTACCTTATATTTTGGTCCTTATCAACTAATCCTGGTCTATAGCAGGTGCTCAAAAATCAAGTAATTTATGTAACATACGGATAAAGCATGAACAATGATCTGTTCAGGAGAAGCAGGAGCAGCAGCTGTCAGGGTTACTGTGGGACTAGCAGTCAGAGTTAGGGGAAGGCCTTGGCTTGAGCTTGTTTGAAGTAGGTAGGTGCCTGGAGTGCCAGTGGGCTGTAGATGGAAAGACTAAAGGAAAAAGAAAAATAAGATAACTTAACAATGATTAAGTCTACTCATATACAAAAACAGGGACTGAGTTTAGTTTACTAGACACAAACGTACTTACCCATTGTGAAGCTGCGAACAAGTAATACAATGTAGGGCATAACTGTCTCAAGTCATTACCTAGCCTGAAGGTTTAAGAGGCTGCTCTTTGCTCCTGTGTACTTCTATGGTCTGGTCTCAGCTATTTGTTTCAGGGCACCAAGACAGTTGTATGAGCCACTGTTTCCAGTGCAGTAACCCTCTTTTTCCTTTCTTTGTAGCACGTAAAAACTGGCAGTCCCCCAGTTAAAAAAAAAAAAAGGCACAACAGCAGTGTTTACTTGAACACTTTTTCACCGTATACTTTTGGGAAATTTTTCTGTACCCTGTCCCTTTCTGTAAAATAGTAATTAGCAATGTTTTGCTGAAGGAAAAAGATGTTTATCTGAAAAAGCTAGTTAACTATTAAATAATACATTTTCTTTTGAAATTTTTAAAGGAAGTATAATGAAATTATTGACCAATAAACTTTTCACAACCATAAGCTTCTATATAAAAAATGTGATATAGGTTTATCTTAATATTCTAAAAAAGTATTTGCACTTAAAATAGGTCTGGGGGTTAAAATCATGTAGCCTGTTTTTCAGTCTTGTGGACTGAGCTAAAACAACTCTCCTGGGTACTAAATCCCCAAATATAGTTTTCCTTATTGCTAAAGTGGAGATGGTAGCTACTTCTCATGGAAAGTGTTTGGGATTAGAAATGATTATGAAAGTGCCTGGAACTCTGTGAGGACTCAATTTCTTTTCTATATTAATCACATATGGTGAGGCATTATTTTAAATACTTTATATGTACATGCATATATGTGTTTTATTTAATATATTTAACTACATTTAATTTTGACAATTTTTTGAAGCTGGAGTACTATTATCCTGTTAATAATAAGGGAAAGCCTAAATATGGTGACCCCATAAGTTAAAAACCTGAACACATACCTCAGATATGTAGGTGTGTGTATATATAGTTTACCAGGGGAATGGGCTTAAAAAGGTGAAAGTTTTCTACCTGTGTCAAATGGTTGTCTTACACATCCCCATTTCAGAGACCACTGGATTAGGAGACTGACTTAGGTTATGTAAGCTGCCAGTAAAAGTTCCAAAGGTGGCCATCCTCTTGGGATTTGGCTGGGGAGAGGATGAATAAACTCTTGCACTAATAACCCTGCGTTCTTCACAGTAAATCTTGATTTAATAAAATTTTTCTTAAGGAAATATGAATTATAGGTTTGTTTTAGAAAGGGCATTCAGTCATGCTCCACTTTCAACCTACATTTTCAGCTGCAGGAAACCACTGATCTACTTTTCGATCTACAAATTTGCCTATTTTGGACATTTCAAATAAAGGGGAGTCAAGTACTATGTGGTATCTTGTGTTGTCTGGTTTCTTTCACTTAGCTTATTTTTCAAGGTTCATCTGTGTTGTACCGTGTTTCAGTATTTCGTTGCTGAGTAATATTTGCATGGCAATTGTACATTTTATTCATTTTTCTGTTGCTAGACATTTTGGTTGTTTAATGCCATGAACATTCATGTACAAGTTTTTACTGGACAGATGTTTTCATTTCTCTTAGGTGGATCCTTTGATAACTCTGCTTAACCTCTTCAGAAGCTAAAAACCAGCTACCTTTCCAAAGCAGCTAAAGCTACCTTTCTAAAGCAGCTAAACCACTTAGCACTGGGACTTTGAAATTTTGTATCCCCAGTGGCTAGTACAGTGTTTACTGAATGAATGTTGTTAAATTTCTCATGATTAGTTTGTCCACAAACTTTCTCAAATAACCAATATGAACTTTTTGGTTATAAATTATAACTCAGTACAAGTCCACAGTATGTATATACTTATTAGCACTGTCATTTTCATATATATAACATTTTGGTTTATATACAGATGAGAGAAAAGCTGATTAAAATTATAAAAGTGGAAGTCCGATTTAGTCTACCATTCATTTGGCCTCTGACTTTTGTATTTCATTTGCTTATATGATTTATAAAAGTGATACCAATTGATCTTTCTCATGCATAAAAATGGCCAATATATATGAAGCGTTACTCACTGGAAGAATCTCAAATGTCTGTAGTGTTCCACTGTTTAGTGTTATTGTTTCTGAGTCAACGGTAGCAGCAGGAGAGTCTGTTGAAGCTGTGGTAATAAGGACAACAATAAATGTTTTGTAAATTTAAGTTTCTCTAGTGTACTCAATTATCATAAAGGCAATTTAATATTGAATAATTTGCCTGTAGACCTGAAGTCACTTACATTTCTTATGAGAGATAATGAATTCAATTTGTCTGGGATGGCATATAGTACAGGGGTGGGCTAACTATGGTCCACAAACAAATCCAGCTGATTGCCAGTTTTTGTAAATACAGTTTACTGGAACACAGCCACACCTATTGGTTTATATATTTTCTGTGGTTACTTTAGTACTACAACAGAGTTGAGTACCTGTGACAGACACCAGAAGGTCAATAAAGCCTAAAATATTTACTATATCTCTTCCTTTATAGAAAAGGTTTGCTAACCCTTGGTATACATGATTACATGTTTCTAATGGTAGGAAGTAAGAGGAACACACTAAGACCAACCTGCAAAAAGACAGGAACTTGGTAAAAACTAATTTTCTTGTACATCTGGGTGAGCAGTATGGCTGTCTGGACTGGTAGTCCAAAAATACTAGGCTTTAATCACTTCCTAGCAATATAAACCTGAGTAAATAACTTACTTTATAAACTAATGTTCAGATATTTTTACCTGTCCTGCCTACCTCATATGGTTGTGAGGATCAAAAGTGCTTTTAAACACAAATAAATGTTAAGACAGCATTATTTCAGAAGACCACATTTGGGAGACTGAATAAAGATCAGACAGTATAATCTCTTTACATGTGTGTCAACTGAGGATCAGACTTGATCAACATCTGCTCAAGGTTAAATAGAACATACTAGCAATGTCATCTTTTTTGGTGCTTGCAGTCATACCTATAGGCAAATTATGTGAAATAAGGCTTGGAATTGACTTTTAATGTGTTATGTTTATTAAATTCTGACTATAACACTTCTCAGCTATTTAAAAGGAATCTATTGCCCTTACCAACAGAAATGCACTTGATTCATATTATTCATCTTACTATTTGATGGATCCTTGAGATCATAGCTATAATAATTTGAAGGGGTTCCAGACAGGCTAAATCAATGTTAGCAAACTACTATCAGGGACAAATGTAGCCTAAGGCTAATATGGTTTTTACATTTTCAAAGGGTTGTTTAAAAGCAAAACAAAGACTATCCTTCAGAAACCTATGTAGCCTGCAAAGCCTAAAATATTTACTGTCTCTGGCTCATTACATAAAGAAATTTGCTGATCCCTGTTCCCTAACCTAAAAAACGAAAACGAGATTTTAGTTAGAATGCTACAAGTAATAGGTGGATTGTAGAACACTTGAGAAAATTCTAAATACTATTTTAAAATGCTGCTATCAATATTAAGGTATCATTTATAAAATGTTTGTCTTCCCAATGGGTACTGTCAACTCAATAGCCAAGAAAAACTAACACGCCCAATCAATTTATAACCAATAGCAACTCTCATATTTACTTGGACTAGTAATTTCAGTTGCTTTGCAATCCTCAGACTGAAACAAAAACAAAAAGAAATCCTTCATTCTTGATTACACTGATAACCAAATTCAGATTAGGACTTTAAGAATAAGGTATGATTAGTTTAAATGTCTCTAAGGTAACTTTGACAGTCAATGCACATAGATACATGGTGTTAAACACCAATATGTGATTCTGTGATTCTCAACCAGGGAATCATAATGGTGTATTTAGAAATATGCAGGGTGTTTCTGTTTCTCATGATGACTGGCATATACTACTAACATTCTGTGGGCAAGATCAAAGGACACTGAATATCCTGCAATGTGAAGGAGTCTGCAAAAACCTGTTGCTCAAAATGCCAATAAATCACCTGGTTGGGAATAACATAATGATTGGAATACTCCTGGGTATCTTTTCAAATGTAGATAGCATCATGTAGACCAAAAACAAAAAAGACGAGTGAAGAACATGGTTCTGAGAATTTCATCCTCATTCCTTTTTTTTTGTCACTATAATTCAAGACTGACGGGAAGGGATAAAGATCAATTTGACTTAGATCTAAAGAAAAAAAAAGTTCTCACTCTAACAACGGCTAGGTTTCCATAATCTCATTAAGCACAAAACTGTCAAAAAACAGTTGCCCATAGGAAACTGGCCCTTTACTCCCTGAAGAAAATCATTCTCAACCTTGCCAAAACTCACTTCTTTACCAAACGACCTCAAATCAATCCCCAATTGATATGTCTTCTGGTGAAATTACTACACATGACACACCAGTTGGTAAATTCTATTTCTTTGCTTGACTGACTGCTTTTTAGCTATTTTCTATCATTCATTCTAATTTCTATTTTTAATAATTTCTATTAAGTCATTAATTACAAAATCTAGAAATTAAGATGGTTTCAAATGGTTTATAATGGTTGGGCAACTGCTTATACATCCTTCCTGTCACACATTCAGTGTGCAAATATTAACTGAACTAAACAAAACATTTTTGGATGTCCTTCAGTTCACCTACCTGGGTAAATATCTATTAACATTCTAGAAGACCAAAAGACATCAGAGCCATTAACTAAATCATATAGATCAAATAGCGGGAATCTTGAAGATCAAACACTTACAAACATGGGTGATCTGGACTGGAATCTGCAATGCTGCCATGGGGCTAGAAGAGATGGCTGTATTATCTTCCAAGCGGGCAACTCTTATCTGAACATGCTGTACACTGGAATTGGTATTACTGTTTGGAACTCCAGATCCTGATTTATTCTCCAAAAGCGTTGGGTTGTTTTTTTGGTTCTCATGTAACTGTTTAAGACCTTTTATTAAGACTGAAGGGAGATGGGTAGACAAAAAGAACATTGATTCTCCGACAGACCACCATCTAAGCAGCAAGGGAGGTGGGGGGAGGTAAGGAGGGAAAGTATTTGGAATAAATAATTGCACACTGGATGTGAGAGCTTATAAAAATAAGACATTTTAAAAAACAACATATCCTGAGATTTTTATAAACATTATCCATCGTAACAAATTTTAATTCTTAATATTGTTATTCTTGCCATCTAAGATGTATAATGTTAAAAAAATTAAAAAGGTAGACATTACAAAGAACATGAAAACGAACATTTTCTATTCCTAGGGTGTCTTGATAGAATTATTATTTAGGAAGAATACTGGCAATGCTAAACAGCTTATTTTCATTTTTTAAACGAATAGTGTATATTTTTCCCCCCAGAGCTGAAGGGCCCTTGACTGTTGGTCTAGAGGTAGCAACTGATCTTTTCCAAACAGTAATATGGTATTCCTGCACAGGGAAGCCCATTCTAGACTTTGTTTTGCTCTATTCATAAAATACGCTTATTCTCTGTAACTGGATTTTTTTTTTTTTTTTTTTTTAAGACAAGATCTTGCTCTGTTGCTCAGGCTGGAGTGGCATGATCACAGCTCATTGCAGCCTCGAACCCCTGGGCTCAAGCCATCCTCCTGCCTCAGGCTCTTGCTCCCCAATAGCTGGACTACAAGCACATGCCCACCATGCCTGGCTAACTGGTTTTTATTTTTCTGTAGTAATGGGGTCTTGCTATGTTGCCCAGGTTGGTCTCAAACTTCCAGCCTCAAGTGATCCTCCTGCCTCAGCCTCCCACAGTACTGGGATTATAGGCATGAGCCACCATACCTGACCTATACCTGGGTATTTAATTTTAAAAAACCACATTTTCATCAAGCCAAAGTTCCTCAGCATTAAATTTTCCTTTGGAACAATGGAAGTTAAGAGTGTTACAATAAGGGGAATAAATTTAATAACCTAAATTAAACAGACCGCACAACTCAATTTAGTACCTAAATGCAAAACAGGCAACGAAAAGTATGCTATGCTTCACTTTAAGCAAACCCAATTTAAGATACCTAGATTTATATAATAAATAAAATTAGAAAATTACAGAGCCGTTGTTCTACAAAATTATAACAGAATTTCTCTAACACGCCTAGTTAAGATATTTGAAATTACACAACTCACAAAAGTTGACTTAAACTTAGGTTTTCAGAAGTATATCTTTGTATAAAATAAAAATGTAGTCATCAATCACTTAAGGATGGGGATACGTTCTGAGAAATGAGCCATTAGGTGATTCTGTCATGGAATCATCAGTGTACTTACACAAACCTAGATGGTACAGCCTAGTACACACCTAGGCTAAAGGACCTATATAGTCTATTGCTCCTAGGCTACAAACCCTTACAGCATGTTACTGTACCAAATACTGTAGGCAATTGTAACACAATGGTAAATCTTTGTGTATCTAAACATAGAAAAAAAGTAAAAATACAGTATTTTAATATTGTAAGACCAATACTATGTATGACATCTGTTGTTGACTGAAAGGTTATAAGTGGCCAGCTATGCTGGCTCATGCAGGTAATCCCAGCACATTGGGAAGCCAAGCTGGGAAGATCACTTGACCCCAGGAGTTGGAGACCAACCTGGGTAACATGGGAAGACCGCATCTCTACAAAAAAAAAAATTAGCTGGGCATGGTGGCATGTGCCTATAATCATAGCTATTCAGGAGGCTGAGGTGGGAGGATCACTTGAGTCCACAGGTTTGAGGTTACAGTGAGCTATGATCACACCACTGCACATCAGCCTGGGTAAGAGCTAGACCCTGTCTCTAAAAACATAAAAATTAAATCGTTATGTGGCATGACTGTATATGCAGATTTTATTTCCTCCTGATAGTTTACACAGAAGAACAAGAATGAGTATAAGTGTGTACATTTTCATTTTAGGGGCTTTAGGAATTACAAACAGTAGTAATTCTTCTCTGGGGAAGAAAACAATTATTGAGAGAAACAGGGCAGAAGTGTAAGTGGAAATCTGCTATGATCTCTCTTTAGCTGGGGCAGAGAACTTCTAACCTCTCACTCCTAAGGAGTAAATATGGCAAGAAAAGGGGAGGAGCTTAAAAAGCAAGTAATACATTACCAGGGAACGAAACATCCTTATGGTTTGCAATTTGCCTTTTGATGGTCCACCATTTACTTCGTAGCCATTGTGGTGAACGGACACTACTCCATCCCTCAGCTAACAGATCCCAGTTAATGTCATTTTCATCAGCTACATCAAGTTCTGCTATCCTACAGTTACAAAATAAGCATCTGTTAGACATTACATTAATTTCTCTATAAGAACCCCTCCTCTGACTATAGGTGATTACGCTGGCAAATAAAGGGAATGGCAGGTTATGGCAATGAGATGCTATTGTTAAGTTGCACGGGAAAGGACTCCAGGAGTGCAGATCTGCTTTCAGAGCTAACAGCTAAGAAATATCAACAGCAACAGCCTTTAGTTAAAGGTACAACCAATGGGCTAAACCATAAATGGTTAGAACCAGGTGAGGCACTGTGAAGGAAAAGGGGTATGGTAAAGGTTAGAATAAGAACAGATTTAGTTGTATAGTGTTCTGCAATGTTTCATAGTGTGGCATTTACTAAGTCATTTATTTCCTGGATCTAAGTGTTTCCACTGTTAAGCAAAAATATTTAGAAATGAGCTATTTATAAAGATGACTAGTTGAAGAAAAAAAAAACAATCCAGTCTAAAAAAAAAAAACAAAACCCCCCACAAAATCCAAAACAAAATAACACAAAAACAGTAGCTGCAATCAAAAAACAACACACTAGTACAACAAAATTTGAGGTTTAAAAAAATCTGTTCATTTTCTAGCTTTGTTGTGATTTGATTTTCAGTAGGGAGTAGCCATGGTGACAGTCTCTATTACTTCAGAGTCTTAAACTATTTCTTGCTATTTCTTGCTAGTATTTTTGCCCATTTTATTTTAGTTAATGAGTCTTAATGGTTAAACCAACTACTTTTAAAAAAAAGCTGGGATTATGATATCTTAAAGATTTTTCGAATTTGTATGAAACGGATGTGTTTGATTTGGTCTACTTTGAAGGTGTGGAGGTAACTACAGACTGGGCCCTCTTCTTGGAAATCTTAGCACAGTAGCCAAGAATTGAAGGGCATGGAGACTGAACAGCCATCTTATCCTAAACGTGTTCCCCTTATAGGACTGAGGCACATTGGTGGGACAGTGGAAAAGCTGCACTGCCTCTGCCTGTGCCATACCTGTTCTGTGGATATAGAGAGGACTTCAGTCTCCACGCCTTCAATCTGGTACTTTGCACGAGCACTAAATCCACTAAAAGAAAAGGAACACAAAACAAAACAAAAAAAGAGCTCAATATGGAATACGTAAGATGTTAAACAGTAGTGCTCTATGGAAAGGATACTTTTCAGACACTAGGCATCTAGGGAAACCAAAAGAGGAAAGTCTATCAAGACATCCACAGCAATTAAGTGGTTTTTGTCATTACAAGATTCAGGACACAAACCTGAGGATGAGATTGATTTCATCTTCCTTGGTCCATTCAGTACCTCCACTCTGTTTCCAATTCAGGTAGTTGAGCCATTTAGAACGACATTGCTTTTCTGAGCGGGTACCCACTCGTTCAGCCACAGCTGCCCAAGATACACCCTGTGTGACTATGTCACCTGGCTCAGTGCTTGTCAACTCATGAACCACTTCTGCGAGTCTCTTTTCTTCTTCTTCTGTCCACTTCCCTGAAAGAAGGAAATCATCCAGACTACCACTGCTAACTTCTTTTACAAATCTGATTCAGCCCTGTATTTACAAGGACCGATGGGAAGTATGTAGTAGTACTAAGAGTTTGTTTCTGAATGACCCTCTGGTGGAAAACCATATATACCCACTAAGACAGTTTCATTTTACTAGCTCAGAGAGGGTCTCAGTAGAAAAGAAACTGAAGAATCCTATGGAAAGCACTCACCAATTATGAAAAGAAAAACCACCCAAAACATAACTACAAAGAAGAATGTATTCTCAAGTTACACTAAGTCCTTTATAAACCGTGAAGTGGGAAGACCTTCATCAATGGCTGACAGACAAGAAATGGCATGCTTTTTTTCTTACTCTCACCTAAGATTCCCTGCTCTGCAAAAGTAGAGTAAGTTCAAGAGGCCATTACTTATAGGAATGAATGATGAGACACTAGGGAAATAACCAATGGGCTCAACCTATTTTAGTAAAAACTAGGTTTCTACCATCTTGTTTCCCCACTATCCCAACTCCAAGCTACTGTGATGAAATATTAGTAAAGTCTGATACAAGTATTTATATTTATTTTTATTCCTGTGTTTTCTCAACCCATAAACCCACTAATAGATAATCCCAAATGTTCCTCTCAGTCTTTTTCTTATGGAGCTAGAGCAGAAACACAGGGAACAAAGAGAACCATTTTTTTTCATCTTCTTTACCTCTGTTTCTGTTTTGTTATTACTAGCTAAAAACCTCTAGAAAATTTCAAAAAGACTGTACTTGCTTTGGCATTCCATTCATCCAGCAAATGTTTATTGAATTTTCATTATATGCTAAGCACAGTTATGAATACTCTGGATGGATTCAAGATGAAGTCCTACTCTTCTATTCTAGCATGGTGTTAAAGGATGGGACCACTTTGAGACTGTGCTGTTTCACGGCGTGGCCTCAACAGCAGCTGTATGTCACAACATGAGAAGGAAACAGGCAGATCTATCAATCCCTCAGGCTGGCAATCAGGAAATGCCACTGTGTCCTTCCAAATTATGTTACCAAAAGTGGTTCTGTACTCACAGCATCTTACATGAACCTCTGAGATCCTATTCTAAATCTAAAGCTTACAGCCCTGCTTCTTTCATTAAACTAGCCATGTCACAGAATGACAAAGCTGGTAGGACGTATGTTCTCACTGCTCTGCAGGTAACAGTTCTGATTTCATTTTAGTAGAGCAAGGGGTTAAGGACAAAATGTATATGCCCTAGAAGCTAAAGCTAAACTTCAGAACTTTTTTTTTTTTTTTTAATTGAAATAGTGGGCATGGATTACGGATGCTTCAGAGAACATTATGGCTGAAAGGGCACTATGAGACCATCTACTCTAATCTCTTTATTTTACAGAGGGAAGTGAGGCTCAGAAAGGTTAAATGACAGTTAATGGCGAAGCCTAATACGTTGTTGGTCGCCAAGATTAGGTTTAACAATATGACTAGGACATTTGTATGCATTAAGAGGCATTCGTGGTCTTGCCAGGGGACTGAAACACCAATCATAAATTTTTTCTATGGAAAAATATAGTTTGAGAGTTTAAAATAAGCAAAATACGTACAAATCTTTGGAACACAGCTTCTTCCTAATTTGGGACTTACCTGTGACTAAAGTTTTTCATAAACACTCACTGATTAGCTGTTGCTAATGTAAATTCAACAGTTAGATGGGCCTAAATTAAAATTACTTGCTGCATATATGTCTTCAAAATACTTTCTCAACTGGGGAAGTATTGAAATTGCTACAAAACTGAAACATGTCAGATCCGAATCATCTTGACACTAAGGTGATGTTGTGTCCCTGAAGACAATGTTACCTTTTACAAAAACAAAGTAAAAGATTAGTTTGATGTATCTAATAAGCTCAAGTAAAAGAAGACTAGAAAATAAAGTCTGAACTAAGGTGAATGATCTAAATCGCTCCCCCAGAACAAAGACAAGACAGTATCCTAAGGGGCAGGAGGAGGCTTAAGTGGTGATAAGAAAACGCTACCAGGAGCAGTCACAGTACCTGTGTTGCAAGTATCCTTCATCAGTCGGCACCGATCTTTGACAGAAGATGCACTTCTTCCTAGCGCCGCCCCTATTGTTGCCCAGTCATTGCCATGCTTTATCCGGAGCCTAAAACAAGAGTCTGCCAATCAGCATTTGGTTCAATTGTTTTCTCCCTTTTAATTTCATCATTTATTCTTCATTCTTCTTCTTCCCATTTGACTGGTTTGGAAGTTGTGGGCAGCAATACTTTGAGAGCCAAAGTTTGAAAGTGTGGCCTTTTTTTGGGGTCCACAGTTGTCTGTGGGTGAAAAAAAAACAGGCAGCAATTGCCTTTTTCCTGGGTCAGAGAAGAAATAAGTAACTTGGATATGTGTTCAAAAAAGACCAATTTCCCCTCAGGTTACTGACACAATCTCCCAGGCAAGCCCCAGACTTTCCCTTTTGAGCATATACCCAACAAACTCTTCTTTAGACATCTAAAAAAGTTTCACAGGCTTTTAACAGATTATAAACAGAATCTACCTTCAAATTTTTTCATGATCCATACAATTCATTAAACCATACGTTAAGGCCTAACTCAATAAAGCAAAATTCTATTTCCTGAGATTCAATAGTCTTTGCAAAGTTGAGTCAGCCCAGATATTCACTGAAACATTTGCCAAGTCACCATTCTAAACTGAGCCATGTAGCACAACCCTGGTTTTGATCCTGGTATATAAATTCCCCAAATTTAGTCTTCAGGCCACCAAAAATGGCCCCTTAATCTTTTCTGGAACCCCTATTAGTGGTCTGAGGAAGCATCTGGTGAATGGCAACAGGAGACCAGATTTATACATTATGAGAATAGTTATTTTGTGCAAGTATGGATTTGATGTGATCTTTTTAAGGCCAATCATGCTTAACAGGAGAATTCAATTATACCAGTCTGCCAAAAACCTCTTGAAATTTTCAAAGTAAAACTTTTAAGGACGTAAGACATTTAAAAAAAAATAGAATGAAAAAAACTTTAAAACTTACTCCTTGAGCTTCTCAATTTCTTCAGGTGTATATCTAGAAATTCAGAGAAATTTTTAAAAAATCAATTAAAACAGTGAATGCTAAAAACCTTAATAAAAATCAGAATTTCATTTAGGGAGCTGAATGTTAAGTCACTTAGCATATGATAATACTTTCAAAGTAACCCATTTTAAAGTGGATTAATAAAAGTTGAGAATAGGCAGGGTGTGGTGGCTCAGGCCTACAGTCCCATCACTTTGGGAGGCCAAGGCAGGCGGATCACCTGAGGCAAGGAGTTCGGGACCAGCCTGGCCAACATGGCAAAACCCCATCTCTACCAAAAATAGAAAAGTTAGCTGGGCGTGGTGGCGGGCGCCTGTAATCCCAGCTACTAGGGTGGCTGAGACAGGAGAATAGCTTGAACTCACGAGGCAGATGTTGCAGTGAGCCAAGATCATCATGCCACTGTACTCCAGCCTGGGCGACAGAGACTCTGTCTCCAAAAAAAAAAAAAAAAAAAAAGTTGAAAATAAATGCTTCTATTTTTATTTTTTTAAAACAGTAAATATTTTTAGTTATAATAAAGGTAAGGATTGTATAATTTTCTCCAGAAAAAAAAATCAACATTTAAAACAAACATTCGCTCCTATGCTGTCTAACACTTCCTTTATTTCAAACTTAGATTTTGGCACTCTCAAATCATAACTATTCCAAAAAAACTTATGGGTGACATTGTAAACTAGAGCTAAAAAGAAAATCTAGAAACAAAAAAAGTCTACAGAAAATTCTCTCAAAGCACTGAAAAAATTAAAATTATCTTTATTTCCTTTACCCAGGTATGGACATCTGACATACTCTTGCTCTTTATTTCAGTAGGCAAGTACTCAATACAGCCAATGTAATGTTCTTTTAAAAAATGTCCATTTAATAACTATGAAAGTCTGCTCACTTTGTAACCATTTGTAATGCATGGAAAGTTTATGAATAGTTAACAAGTCATTTATGCTTCATTTACAATTTTTTCTCTTTTTCCACTGTCACAAAAACATAATTTAATCCTCTTCAGCTTTCAAATGTATTTTCATTAGCAGGCTGCTGAAGAGCTAGAGAAAGAGCTCCACCATTAGCTCAGCAGTACCTAATAAGCCATACTACTGCCACCTAAAATTTCCAAAGAGAAATTAAAAATATGTCAGTAACAATATACAATCACTGCATTTGAAGAATCTTAATGATACCTTCCCATAAATGCTACCTAAAACAGAAATCCATGCATTGTTTTCAGAAATGTAGTTCTTTTCCATTCTGCATTTAAAAAAAAAAAAAAAAAGGCCACTGACCTAGGAATGCTATATTCTAAAAACAAATAGGAAAAATGTTACCAATAAATTTCAAGTTATTTTCACACTTCTTAAATCTTTAATCAGTACTGTACTTTTTATGTTACTTTACTACAAAGCAGACTTTGACATATTAAGTAAGCCAAGTCTTAAATCTAACCTATATAAAGTGAATTAGATCCTAATTTCTAAAAGAGGCTTTAATAATAAGGTTTCACCATATTCACAACATGGACCTGGAAGATAAAAATATTAACAATAATTCATAGCTGTCTTCAATTAATACCTTGACCATAATTCTATTTTTTTTTAAAAATGGACAGTTCCTCAAATATTACCCCTAATTACATGAAAACATGCAGCATTACAAGTTTTCATACTTTCCCACATGGTTTCTGTCATCATACATGCGAAGCACTCTTCTATAAACTGCAAACAAAGGCCGGTTCAGACCCCATGCTATAGTCCTGTAGAAATCTTTTCTTTCGTCTTTTGACATCTCAAAGATGATTTCTGTAGCATCTTTTATTCCGCGTGCCTAAATGGGTTACATTTCTTTGATTTAGGGATTTCTGATAAAATACATATGGATATACTATGCTTTTAAAATATCACTAATTCATTAATAAATCAAATATAAACTTTTAAGGTGTTGCAAGAGATAAAAAAGTGACACTTAAATGTTCCAAGAATAAACTATCAAATTCAATAAATTCAATTTCCGTCAACTGTTTTACAATTACAAAAGGTTAAAAATAGATCTAAAGAAAGTAGAAGGAAGCAAATCACAAGAGCAAAATCAATGGAATCCAGAATCAAAAGGATAAACTAATCTAGAAATTGGTTCTTTGAAAACATCCATTAAGATTAATAAAATTTGAAATGATTAAAGTTCTGCCAAAAAAAAAAAAAAATGACACAAACAATATTAGCAATGGGAAAATGGGGCCTAAGTAGAGATGCTGCAGAGATTAGACCATTAACAAAGTAACATTATGAACAATTTTATGGTCATAAATTTAAATTTTGGTAAAATGAATAAATTCCTAGAAGACATCAAACATCAACTTACCAAAACTGACTCTGGAAGAGATAGAAAATCAAATAGGCACAGACCATCAAGAAAATCTAATCAGTTATTAAATAATCTTCCCACAATAAAAACAGTAGGCCCACATGACATAGATGATATTATAGGTAAATCCTACCAAATAGACACATAATCCTCTCCTTAAACTATTCAAAAGTTAAAAAAAAAAAAGTGGGTACATTTCTTTGCTTATTTTGTCAGGCTAGCATAATCTTAATAGTGAAACCAGAGGAGGACAGTTTCAGAAAAGAATTTTCAGGTCAAACTCATTCACTAACATAGATCTCCTAATAATATTTTAGCACACTGAACCCAGCAATGTATAAAAACATTAGTATGTCCAGGTAGAAAAGTGAATTTATCCCAGGAATACAAGTTTGTGTTAATTTCAGGAAAATTATTAATGTAATTAATCACACCAGCAGATTTATGGAAAAAATGTAAAATCTCAACAGATGTGGGAAAAGCATTCATAAAATTCAGTATTCATATATGTATATCTTACCAAATTAGGATTCACTGATAATCAGATTTTTTAAAAAACCAAAATTATAAAGATTAGAAAAGAGGAAACACTTGTAATATATAGGTAGAAACACAAAAAAATCTATGAAAAAAATTATGTGATTTAAAAAAGAACTAATTTTAGCAAGGTTGCTAGATACAAAATCAAAATGCAGTTATTTGCGTTTCTACTCAAAGTTTACATAACATTTTTAAAAGTTCCCACACGGCATCAAAATTAAGAGTAGAGTATCAGAACTTAGGCAAGTTACCAATGTCCTTTATGGAGGAAAATATAAAACCTGACATTGAGGAGGAACTAAGAGTTATACCATGTTTTTCAACAGGAAGATGACATACTGTGAAGATATTACTTCCCCCCAAATCAAAGTACAAATTCAATGCCATCCAATAAAAACTCCATTTGAATGTTTCACTCTCTGTAAGCTGATTTTAAATTGATAACAAAAGAGCAAAGGGCCAAGAATAGCTAAGACATTTATGAAGAGACTTGCCCCATTGGATATTGGGACTTCTGAAGACGGCACTGTACTGGTGCAGCTATCAACAAATAGAACCTGAAAACAAATTAGAAAACCTAGAAACAAATTTGTGGCAGCTCGATTTAGAACAGAATGGACACTGTAAGTTAGGAATTAGACGTCTATACAGAAAGAGATACAACTGAAATTATATCTCACACCTACAGCCATGAAATGCAGAATTATAAAACTTTTACAAGATAATGTGAGAATGTCTTCATGCCCTTGAGGCAGGGAAGGATTTCTTAAGCAAGCATGCATGCAAAACAAACAAAAAAGATGATACACTTGATACTGCAGTTAAAAATTTTTTATCAAATGACACCTAAAGAGAAGGAAAAGACAGGCCACTAAATTGGGACAATTTTGTATCTGTAATACAAATGACCAATAAACCATTAGTACTCAGCATACATTAAGAAAGTCTAAGTTAAACAAAACAGTTAACGCCACAGAAAAACTGGTGAAAGACACAGGAATTTCAAAGAAGAAACACAAATAGCCAATAAGCATATCAAAATGTTATCAGAGAAACAAATTAAAATCATAATTAACACCCATTAGATTTGTACAAATGAATAGCAAAAAACTAAAAGAACCCAAATGACCATTAACTGTGAAATGGGTAACTTGCACATTTGCAGGATGAAATACACCTAAATAAAAGGGTAAGGATATTAAAATAATAATGAGTTACAGAATATCCACAGAATTAATCTATTTATATATATTTCAAAAACAGGTGAAATCACAGTATATGCATTTTATATACTTTTGAATGTATGAAACTTCACAGCAAAAAATTTCTACATTTCAGAATGTTTTCTAAAATTCTTTCACTTATGCAGTTCCAATTTTGCCAGTGATTCAACCTAAATATTTACTGATCTACTACATGCAAGCACACTGTGTTGCAGGATGACCATACAGTGAGATAAAAGATTCTTCTGCCTCCACACTCTTTGCCCTTTTTCTTGCTTGTGGAAGTTACTTTCATTTATCCTTTTAACCCAAATATGAAACATATGACATCCAACTAATTGGAACTCTCTGAAGTTTAAAACTGGCTCTACAGAAGTCTTAGAAGAGCACCACATAATAAAAGCTATGGTCAAAAACCCAAATTGAACAGATTATCTTTTTTCAAGATAACCTTTGAACATTACCTATTTCTGCCAATCTGATCATCATTCTCCCAATCACCTAAAATAAAAACTCTTAAGTTGCTCTAACTCCTTTTCCTTCTTTCCCAACATGCAGTTCAGGCATCCTTGCAGATACTTGGTTATCTGCCCTTTCTCTATCAATTCTATTTCTACCACTGTAGTTTAAGTCCTTTGCCACTATCAGTTGGGCTACTGAAACAGTCCTCTAAAAGGTCTCAAATCCTACTCACACTCCTGCCCATTAATCACTAACTTGGAAGGGTCCTCGGAGATGATCTACTTTAATCCCTTAGACAAGGAACTAGCTTAATTCTCAAAGTTCAGTGTTCCTTAGCACTGATTACTGCTTTATCTAAACTAGTAGCATTTTCCAGGATTAACTGAAGCATATGTGACTAATGGACAACTTAAATACACTTCTGGATTCATTTTCAATGGCCAATGTATTTGTTTCTCTTAAAATAACAAACATGGTGGAAGGATCCCATTTATTAGTGAAGAATTAGAAGTTTTAAAATTCTATATTTCAAAAAGCTTAGCTTGGGAAAGTTGCAGTTAAAATTAAAATTTAAAATGTGGACCTTCTATCTAGGCAGCACTGTATTTCTACATTAGTGTTGAGTGGAAAATTTAAAGTAAGCAGTCAATATATCAAACGATACGAGAATGGTTAAACACTGTATACCATCCTTCCCCAAATGATGCTGATGGTCTACATTTCAGACATAATACTATTTGAATCTAACTCCATTACAGAAATGGTCAGCAAGTCTCTGGAAAGATTTCCTTGAGAATACAGATCTACCCCACGAATTCCTTACTCAACTAAACTACTAGCTTTTCTTAAACCCTTTAATGCTTGTCATCTGCTATGGGATAAAGTTCAAATTCTTTGGCATGGATTTCAGAGCCCAGTTTTCCAGAGGCTATTTATCTCAGTTCAAGGTAAAGGGGTTAATTTAATGTGCGTTGGTTTTGATCTTTGATTTCTTGCTGCTTCAGCTTGTATTCATGTAGTTCCCTCCAATTCTACTCTAGCCCAAGTACCATTCTTTAAGACAGCTCAAATCCTTTTTCTTCCAAAATTTTCCGTAACTGCTCTAAAAACTCTTCTTTCTGTAAACTTGTACAGAATTCACATGTATCATTCACATGATACAAGGCTTTGTATCACTCTTCACCTGTTTCCAGTCTGCCCAAATGGATCACTGACTTCAAAAGCAAACACTGTTAAAGCAATCCATGCCTTAACACAATCCAAAGCCTTAAAAATACTGTGTTCAAAAGACATTTAATGAAGAGTACTAAGCTAACAAGAAATAAACCTGAAAAAGAAAATAAACTAAATTTTTGATTTTTTTTAAAAGGGAAAGACTACTATGACATCAAAAATTCATTCAAAGATGCATACCTTAGCTGGGCGTGGTGGCTCATGCCTGTAATCCCAACACTTTGGGAGGCCGAGATGGGCGGATCACCTGAGGTCAGCAGTTTGCGACCAGCCTGGCCAACATGGTGAAACCCTGTCTCTACTAAAAATACAAAAATTAGCCGTGCGTGGTGGTGCATGCCTGTAATCCCAGCTACTCAAGAGGCTGAGGCAGGAGAATAGCTGGAGCCCAAGAGACGGAGGTTGCAGTGAGCTGAGATTGTGCCACTGTACTCCAGCCTGGGCAACAGAGCAAGACTCTGTCTCGAAAAAACAAAAACAAAAACAAAACAAAGAAAGATGCATACCTTAAGCTTTTAAACAATATAAATTAAACTATATAGCCTTCTTGAAAAGATAAGACTTTAAAATGTTGAGAGGCTACTAACATTTTATCTAAACTTTAGGGTGGCAACTAAAGTAGTAAAGCGATTTTAAACTGAGAATTCAAAATATTATTATACTATAATAATGTATTTTAGAATTACTCAGCTACAACATGTTAGCCATTACAAAAATCCATTACAAAAATAAGTAAAAAGTTAATAAGTACATACAACATACTGTGTCGGTATTTCTGCAACTGGCAATAAACAAATTAGTGAAACATAAAAATATGCCATAAGATACCTTTAGATAGCGTTCAATATTGTTCATCAAAATATCAATTTCTTCCTTGGACCACATCCCCTGCTTCCATTTATGCCCTTTAAAAGAAAACAAGTAATGTTAAAAAAAAAAAAAAAAAAGTTACTCTTTGAAAGAAATAAAACACCAAAGATTCCTTTGTGATTATATTTGGGGATAAAATTTAGCTAATTTCATTTCTCATTCCTCTGAAATCTGAAAGGTCTCTAGGTTAAACTTGCTTTTGTAACTTCCGGATTTTAAGCTATAGTACATTTATTTGACCCTACTAAAAAAAGACAATGATAATTAAAAGATTTTTTAAAAATTACCTCTCTTAGCCTTTCAACAATATAGAACTGCTAAAAAGAAACATAAAAGTAAAAAAAGCCAAATCATGCTCAAAACTTTTTGAAAAATTTCTCCAGTGAAAATTGTATGGGCAAAAAGAACATACACAAATGTTGGGAGCAAGCACCCCAAAATCTGGCCATAAACTGGCCCCAACACTGGCCATAAACAAAATATCTGCAGCACTGTAACATGTTCATAATGGCCCTAACACAAAAGCTAGAAGGTTGTGGGTTTACACACACAACTGCTGCAGTTAACTAGCCCAATCTATTCCTTTAATTTGGCCCATCCCTTCATTTCCCATAAGGGATACTTTTAGTTAATTTAATATCTATAGAAACAACGTTGATGAGTGGTTTGCTGTTAATAAATATGTGGGTAAATCTCTGTTCAGGGCTCTCAGCTCTGAAGGCTGTCAGACCCCTGATTTCCCACTTTACACCTCTTATATTTCTGTATGTGTGTCTTTAATTCCTCTAGGGCTGCTGGGTTAGGGTCTCCCGGACTCTAGGGCAAGGTAAATATTGAATAACAAGTGAATAATGTATTCTTAAAGAGTATTTACTATACAGTGGTTGAAAATGATTTACATTTTTCTGCTTCCTTTCTGTACTTCACAGTGGCACACACACAACGCTCACTTTTTTTGTAGCACCTTCCCCAGCTATGCTTGAGCATAGCCAACACTATAAACACTACGTTTAAGGCTTAAGGTAGCCTCTAGGTCGCTTATCAGACCATAGTAGGCCCTTGAAAAGGCTTGAGTTCCTATTCTCATAAGCAATAACTATCTTGTCTTAAATGCCACCACTATGCATTTGTTCAAAAACTAACAAGACAAAATTTACTTCAAATCAGGAGAAAAATAATTATTAATTACTGAACAACAAATGGTGGTTTCACAACCTTAATTCAAAGTCATTTGGGGCCAAATTTAATTCAATTAGAAAAGCTCAATTACTCTAACTGCTCAATCCTAATGATGAAGGTCCAACTCAGAATCTTGATGACTATAAGCCCTTTCTATCTCCATTTTTTTCCACTGGGCACTAAAATTCACAGTATATCTTACCTTTATTAGTCAGAGAATCCTTATCTTCTTTAGTTGTAAACCATGCTTGGCTAACTGCTGAAACTTCCTCATTACCCAAGGGAGATATTTCATCTAGTTGCTCATTCTGCAAAATCTTGTAAAAGTTAAAAAAAAAAAAAAGTGGCAGCTTGATTTAATGCCCAACCTGATTCATCTTTGTAATCCTAAGCATTATAAAACTTAAATATAGTCATATGGAATTCACTTGTTTTAGATATAGTAAAAATATATTCAATTTACAAAAAAATATTTCTTGCTATTTTTATTATGGCAGTATGAAAACAAAATTATATGCATTAACATAATATGACCTTCATTTAAGCAAGTAAGTGTACTACTGGCTTCAGTTTTATATAAAATGGGCCAAGAGTCTATTAAGTATTTAAATCAACATAGAATACTCAGGGAAATTTAAATATTTACACATGTAAATAAGCTCAATAATATACAATATACAGTTATCTGTTCTAGACAGGAAAATGGAAGTGCTAGGGTTGGGTGTTATGATTTGTTAATGCCCTCAGAGATAAGCTTGCTGCCTAAATCACCAATAATGTAATCTCTTAACTTAAAAGATTAACAGGCTAAATCATAAGTCATTATTGCAAAATCATGGTCTGCTTATTGTTTTCTGACAACTTTGTTTTAGACAACCTCTAGAGCCTTATTAATGTACCTTTCTCTCAAAGAACTGTATGGTACTACTTATTCTTAATGCAGTTAAGTCTTCTGTGCAACCACCACCATCTATATTTTTAGTTACAAGCATATCTAACTTAACAAATTCTGCAGGGGAAAAAGCTGCCTTTGGCAGAGTTGACCCTGGCCTAAAGAGAACCATAATGTAAATGAGGAAGACCTGGCAACAGTGCTACCGTATCAGATATTAGCCTATCATAGACAGAATAAGGGAAGAGTCACATGTTTAGTGACCACTCAACCCAATTCAGTCTCTGGGCTAAAAAAAAAACTAAGCAATGTTACTGGCTGAAGGTAAATCCTAAGAAGGACTGAACTACTACTTCTTGAATAAACAGAAACTGAACTTCTAATATGAAGAGAAACTGAAACCCACCTCTCTTGGAAAGAGATAAGCTGTCCTCATCTCTTTTGGAAAAAGATAAGCTGTCAGTGGACAACCAAGGTACAATTAGGAGAAAAGTCACATTTCTATTGTTGCCTACTACTTTATTTTTGTATCTGGTGGTAATATATATAGTGTGTTTATGGAAGTGCTTTTGAATCCATGGGCAAAAAGCTGGAAATCACTGGAACAAGTGTGAATAAGTTTTATAGCCCTCTATTTATGTGTCATACTTTTTGATTTTTTAAATCAAGAAGGACCTGTATAAAGCTAAGAATTGAGACAGACTATATGTGTCTAAGGTTCTTACATTCTGAAGATCACAATTTTATAAGATTTGATCCTGGAGTTATATATCAGTAAAGAGTATAACAGAGAGCTATCAAAAGACCTTGATACATGCAATACTCAGTTTTAAGAACTATAATGTAGAAAATACTCTTAAATTATCTTCTCTTAATCAGTTGGATATGAGAATCAAATCACCATTTCTCAAAGTATGTCTATATAGCAAAGCCCATTCCATGAACCTTAGGAATAAGTCTGTTATGCTGATTAACCACTATTTGGGGGCAAACATTTAATGCCTTATGGCTCAAATCTTCCCTCAAATGAACAAATAATTATTAAGCAGTAGCAGTAGTATTCAACACCATCAATAATAAATGAGTTTAGTGAGTACAGCAGGAGACTTAGGTACCTTGAAGGGTACCTATCTATACTTGATATATAAATAAGTCTTACAGTATTTTACCCCCATTTTTCACTACTTTATGCATCTATTAAGTTTCCTCAGCTATATTTAGTATGCTGCTGCTTTTAAAATGAAGCTTTTATGAGTTGGTTGCAGGATTTCATGCCTATAATATATATAAGGCTTAGAAACCTAGAATATTCAGCTCATTGAAGCCTCTTGCAACCACAAAGTACTACATACATAGGGACTTACAATAGTTTCTAATTATTTTTCAAGCTAGTCTCATCACTGAAATGAGACATAGTACATTAACTACCAAACTATGTCAAAATAGCTGCACCTGGTTTACAGCAGATACAGTAAGAAACAGACTATTTCTGAACTTTTTAACTATGCTGACTTTCAACTCACATCTTGTTCATTTTGTGTCTAAAGTTAATCTTATTAAACAAATATTAGCAATTATTAGAAAAGTTTTTTGTTCACTAAAATGGTGATAGCAACCCAAGAGGTTAAATATTAAATTATAACTCATTAACTCTTTGGCAGTAATCAAAACAAAAGAGCTTTGTAATTTGTTTCATAATAAGGGCCAAAACAGTGGCGTGTGCCTGTAGTCCTCGCTACTTAGGAGGCTGAGGTTTCTCATCATTTTATCTGCTAACCAATGTGTCAAGGAACATTCTCCTGAGGACAGTTAAAAGATTTACTATACCTGGATCTGTGTCACAGTCCCCTCAGTAACCTCATCATCTGCTACCTCTGTGGTCGCAGTCATGGTCACCTCAAAGCTCTGATCATTTTCTGAAACTTCAAGAAAAGGAACAGTTCATCTCCAGAATAATAATGGCAAGTTTTAATTGTTCTAAAAATATCCATGGGGAAAAAACACAATCATCTAATTTCCTAACAAACTACTTGTTAATACATCTTCACATGTATATATTCATTTGCTTAATAATAGTTAATGAGAACCTAATTCATAGTAGATACTGCTCTGGGTGCTGGGGATACAACAGTGAGCAAGGGAAACAAAAATCATTTCTTCATAGAGCCTATATTCTAGTGGGGAAAGACACAAAATGGCCAGATACTACATTGGATGGTGATTAGTAGTGAGAAAAAATAAAACAGGAAAGGGAATCTGTTGGGGTGGAGGACAGTATTTGAAATTTTCTATAGGAGGCTGGGAAAAGTGACCAAGACTTGGAACAAGTGAGGATGGAAGCTAGTTTTGCAGGAATCTCAAGGAAGAGCATTTCAAGGAGAGCCAAGTGCAAAGGCTCTGAGACGGGGCATGCTTGGAGTGTTCATGAGAATGGCAAGAAGGTCAGTGTAGCTAAAGCAGACTAAAGAAGAACAGTAGGAGATTGTGTGGGGCCTTGTAAGCCAAAAGGTTTTGGTTTTAACTCTTAGGTGGGAAACAATTGGAAGATTTTGAATAGAGGAATAATATAATCTTTTATTTTAACAGACTCACTCTGTGCTATCAGAAAAACCATCTGAAGCGCAAATGCAATAAAGATAGGTCAGTGGCTTGGACTAGGGTGAAGGCAAGTGAGAATGGCTAGTAGTTCAAATTGTGAATGTATTCTGGATGGCAAAGCCACTATGATTTGTAGACAAAGAGGAGATGGAAGAGACTGAAGAGCCAAGGATAATATTACATTTTTTTAAAAAAAAATCAAAACTACTGGAAGAATACACCTGCTACTAATTAGTTGAGAAGACTGTAAAATAAGCAAATTTAAGGATTTAGGAAGTTATAGAACCTCTGCTTTAAACACACTAGTTTGAGACAACTACTAAATATTTAGAGAATGAGAAGTCTGGTCTGGAATAAATCTGGGGTGGTTAACACCAGATAGTATTTGAAACCTTAAGTTGAGATCACCTAAAAAGTGAGTAAACAAAGAAGCAGTCTAAGGACTTAGTTCTGGGGTGCTCCACATTTACAGGTTCTGGTGACATGGAAAAGTCAGCAGTAGAGACTGAGAAGAAATGGACAGAAAAATAGAAAGAAAACCAGAGGAATATTTTCTATAGGCCAAGTGAAAACGTTTCAGGGAGAAGGGAGTAATAAATATTGTCAAACGTTGCTGACAGATCAAGTAAGGCAAACACTAAAAAAGTGAACACTGAATTTGGCAACAAGAAGGTCTTTGGAGAGCTGGGAAAAACAGTTTAGTTAAGGGGTGAAAGCTTGGAGTAAGTTTAAGGAAAAATGGGGAAAGGAAATGAAGGCAAATACAGGCAATTTTCAAGGTATTCTGCTCTAAAGGCAAGGAGGAAAATTGAGTAAGAACCAAAAGTGAGCTAAAAGAACTTCTTATTTATTTTTCTGAGACAGGCTCTTGTTCTCTTGCCCAGGCTGGAGTGCTGTGGCACACTCACAGCTTATTGCAGTCTCAACCTCCCAGGTTCAAGCAATTCTCCCACCTCAGACTCCCTAGTAGCTGAGATTACAGGCATGCACCACCACACCCGGCTCATTTTTGTATTTTTTGTAGAGACAGAGTTTTGCCATGTTGCCCAGGCTGGTCTCAAATCCCTGGGTTCAAGCAAACTGCCCGCCTCAGCCCCCCAAAGTGCTGGGTTTATAGGCATGAGCCACCACGCCTGACCAGGGACTTTTTATTTAAAGAAAAATAACAGTATGTTTGTGATACTGTGGTAATGACTCAGTAGAAGAAAAACTGGTGACACAGAAGAGACAAAATAATTATTGGAACAATGTCCTTGAGTAGGTAAAAGGGATAAAATCTAGTAAATGGAAGGGTAGGCCTAAGATAGGACAACGAATATATGAATGGACATAGATGCAGGTAGGTATGTATTTGTGGTAGTAGGAATTTGTAGAAATTATTTTCTGGTCACTTCAAATTCTTTGTGAGTAGGGTTATTGGCTCAGAGTAAAAAGGTGGAAAAGGTATTTGGAAGTTTCGGGACATATGAAATAGTCATCTCAGAGTGGGTAAAAGAACACTACAGAACTGTTGTTACTGGTAGGCAGCATTATGAGCCCGTGAGAATAGTCAGCCTGCTTGTGCCATTTTTCTCTAATACTTTTCAATTAGCTGCACTGGTACAGACATAAACAGGCAAAAATAGATTTAGACAGTTATGATTTCACCAAATAAGTGAGAGGAAAAAAAAGGACTTGGTGAATGCAAGACAGTGATTATAAGATTAACCATAAAAGTAAAACAGGGTAAAAAGGAAAGAAAGGATACAAGTAGAGAAGAAACAATGATAATATAATAGGATCAATGGGTCCCAGTGAGGCAAAAGACTGCAGGAGTTACAGAGTGCTACAGGAAGTGAGCTGGAAAAACAGAAGTAGTGGTAGGAAAACAGCAAGTCTGAAATAGATCACAAATGAACTCTAGTAACAGGTAAGAGTGGTAAAGGCAGTAATAAATGGAGAACAAAAGGAATAAGAGGCTAAGGTACTGAAAGAATCATCTAGACGAATACTGTAATCACTATATAGTTATAAATAGGGAATGGGATAAATGTAGTGGCAGATGACTACAAAGAGAAGAGGTAAGTGAGTTAGAGTGATTAATGAGAGGCTGATGCCTGTGAGGATTTTTACGATCCAGACAGATAAACTTTATCAGTCTTATTGCTCAGTATTAGGCTCCAGTGTGTCTTCCATATGTGATGATGCTATGACCCAACATTAAGCAGCTCATGTGCTTTCAAGTCAACCTTCCTCTATTATCTGAAGCTAAGTGAACAGCGCCATTAAGGATTTGGTTTACCACCATAAAAAAACATAATAAAGTGTAGTTTGAACCTACAATCATGAACAGGGCATTCTACTTTAACAAAATGAATTGGTTAAAGTCAATTCATTTCAAATTAGCTACTCAAAAATTCTAGTTTAGAAAATATTTAGGATTACATCTGTATAGATAGGCCAATTAAGTTTTAGAATTGAATCACAACATAATAGTCAAATTAGGAAAGATTTAAAAAAACACAGGAATCATGATTAGGAGGAAAGAATATTTAATTAGAAATATGTTATGCTTGTTTATACCACAACTGGAAGCAATATTAACACTGCTTTTTAATAAAGTCTTATAAACTAAGAGTTTCTTTTCTGTTCAATTTAGCAAGCAATTAACTCTAAATTCAGAGTACATATCTACTTGTTAAGATATGATTTTCCAGGCTGAAAACCTGGTCTTGCCTTTTCAAAAGATGAAGATGTGATTTTGTCTGATGCTGAGTGTAAAATCAAAGTTCTCAGCTATGGCAAAACTCCCCTTTGTGCTAAGAGTGCCACCAACAGCCATGTGTCCCACCCCCATTGCCATGGACTAAGGCATCTACTCCAGAATCTTCCTGAACACTCCATACACTTTGCTAAGCAAATCAGAAATACAACCTAATGTTGCAGTTGGTATGTGGTCTTGGGCCAACAGTATTGCACTTGAAATATTATACCTCCTATAGAAGCCAGTCTACTCTAAATGATCTTGGAAGAGAAACGCATTAAGAACTTTCTTGGTAAGAATAAACTAATTAGGCTTCTATCTAACTTTCATGTTGTCATATAGCATACTGAAGAGACAATATGGCATTGGGGTCAAGAGTATGTACTACAGGAACCAGAATGCCTAGATATGCTCTTAGCCAAGTTATTATAATTTTCTGTGTCTCAGTTTCCTGACTTGTAAAATAGGAATAACAATATTAGTACCTATTGTAAAGCATGCTTTCTCAATGAGGGCAAATATGGTTCTTGGGGTGGGGGGAAATGCATGTGACAAAAAGTTTTATTATCTTTATGAACAAAGCAAGGACATACAGACAGTACGTTAAGAAATACAAGCTATTTTTGAGGATATATTGTACTTTTCATGAAAAGTACAATCAGGAAAAAAAGTCTAAAAAGGCTCCTTGTGGGGCAATTGAAAAAAAAAAGTTGGGAAGATTAAAGTAGGCAATATACGTAAAAGCATTTAATGATATGTCTGGCACATAGTATTTATTGTTAGCTAAAAAGAAGTGTTTTGACTAAATGAAGAAAAAAGCATTAAGTCCAAGTCTATCTAGAAATGCCAATTGAATGTCTTGGAAGCTAAACTTTGATTTTAAAAGGGAACTCTATGGCTCTTAATACGTAGTGACTTACGTGGAAGTGCAACAACTGATATGCAAGGAGTAGAATCATCAATACTCTGATCATCCTCAGAGGACAAACAAAGCCTCTTATGTGGAGGTTCAATACTATCTTCTGAGTCTATTTCATCCGCTTCTAATGGAAGAAAACAAACAAATAAAAATCTCAAAAATTTCAAACCAATGAGGGAAAACAAAATTTCTAATAATGGTTCTACAATTTTTTTATCTATTAAAAACATTTTCTTACCAATTTGCTCATTTAACTAAACCTAGTTGTGCAAACAGGATTCAAAAGGACACTGCCTTTCTATGCCTACCGCAGTATTCAACTCCTGAAGGCGGTGTCTCAAACATGAAAGAGAAGGGAAGCCCGGGGAAAACTGCTATCTCTCTTGGCAGTAGAAGCAGTATGTGCAGTGACATGGAGGTATGAGAAGCTTAAGGTATAGGTATGTTAGGAAAATAAAGATAGTGTGATCTGCTGGAACACAGGTATATGAAATGTGGCAGGAGGTAAGACTATGAGGAAAGCAGAAACGACTGGAGACCTATGGGCCAAATTAAAGAACCTGTACTATATTCTAAAAACCTTGGGAAGCTTTATGCTATTAATTGTATCATGAGCAATTTCATCAGCTGCTTGAAAGATGGATTATAGGTAGGACACTGGTTAAAAAGCTATTAGAGATACCTAGATGAGAAATGAGAAACTGAACTAACAAAGGAGGGCTTGAAACAGACAGGATGCAATGGATTTAAAAAACATAATACTATCAAGAAGTCTTCAAATGAAATGATGCAGGTGATGAGAGAAATAATTTATTCCCAACCACATTCATGATCTGGACACTAATGAAATTCACAGAGAAAGGAAAAAAGAGAACTAGGTAATTTAGGAAGTACATGTAAGGATTGTTTGGGATGTATGAAACTTAAGGTGCCTATGAGAAGCACAGAGAATTCTGTATAAAGACAGAGTCTGAGTCATCTTTATAGGTAGGTGCTACTTAAAATTCTAAGTTTGAATTAAATAACCTAGGAATTATGTACAGAGTGAGAAGAGAAGACAGAACCTAGGTTGAGTAAAGATGAACTTAAGAGCACAATAAATAAATGACATAAATAATGAGCAAGCAGAGGAGTAACAACAAAATTATCAGCTGGAAGGCTACTGATTCTTAATTCATTGTAGATCATCATATTAAGTCATATTCAAATGATTGTGTACAATTCTTTAACACAGGTTCTAACAAAAAAGTCTATTTGCATTGAGGAATAATTCTACATTTCCTAATGAATTAAATATACTGCTAGTACCACTTAGTATAAAAAAAAAGTATATATTATAGTTATTCCATCATTACCTTTGGGGGCTCAACATCCTATTTATAACATAGCAACAAGATTGACAAAAGCTAACATTTATATTAAACTCATAGGCACCTAGACCTCTATTTGGGCAATAGGGGTCAAAAGTGATAAATAAATTCAGAGAGTCAGAATTATATATCAGCAAGTTCTCCTACCATTCTGAGGGCAGTGAAGAATGAGATTCCCTTCTGTGTCCTGAGTCAAAGTCACAGAATTCACAGTTTCTACTGTTACTGTGTCAGAATCCTCTTCCACTGTGCTCATACTCAAATCTGTACAAGAACAGATTCTAGATCAGGATTTCAAAATTTATTCCCAGATATGAAGTATTCCCTTATAATCCCCTGAAATACCACACATATTTATTTGGGTATCTGCCTACAGTGTTCTTCATGTAAAATTGCAATGAGAGTTCAGATTTCAAAAACTGCCTTTCATAAGTTTACACCCATTATTTAGAATTAAATATCTGCAAGACTCTGTTTGCTCTGATAAATTTTAAAAACCTACAACATTTATAATACTTAATGTTTTTGCCACATCCAACCAAAGAGAATCTGTCTTATCAGCAAAAGTCTCACCACTTTTTGATTGTGTTTTTATGGACAGCTTTGTAGGTGCTTAACTTCTTTTTCTTTAGCAGAAGATTCATCAAAATTTTTATCTTAAGAATTATTTTTCCAAAACATTTTTTACAGGTATTTAAGCTCTATTATCTGAAACACAGGAACACTAAAATAATTCTTGCTGTGTTCTTTTCAAAATATTGAAAAAGTACATACATCCATCACTGACCAAATTGCAATTTTAAGAGATGAGTTAGTCCTTCTTTTGAAACAGGTAACTTTGAACATTGTTCAAAGTATCCTTACCTGCTATTTTACACAAATATTATTTTCCTCTTGTTCAGACAGATGGAATACTTAGTCTTGGAATATAATATCTCATGGCTAGTGGGGGGAAAGGCATGACACTATAGTCAATAGCCTGGCTGAAGTCTTCAGAAATACCTTATAAGGTTTAAAGAGGTTCTTGCCTCAATACTCACTTTTGGCACGTATGTTTACCAACTAAATAACACAGAGGACATAAACCGTGATATAATTACTCAATGTTTATTAAGTTTTTTTTTTTTTTTTTTTTAGAGAAGGGGTCTTGCATTGTTGCCCAGGCTGGAGTGCAAAGGCTATTCACAGGCACAATCTTAAGTGTACTAGAGCCTTGAACTCCTGAGCTCAAGTGATACTCCTGTCTTAGCCACCCGTGTAGCTGGGTACAGGTATGTGCCAACATGCCTGGCTCTCTCTGGCTCCTATACACAAGATATTAGTCCATTCATACATTTACCATTGAAGTGAATGTATTTTCTTTTGACACAAAAACTTTTAACATTTACATGGTGAAGATCCAATAATTCGTTAAAATTTTACTATACAAATTACTATTTGAAAAGGACATCATTCATTTTACAATAGTAATTATGCCATTCCCAAAATAAAGGTAAATGGAAATCATGATCTAGTTTTGACAAATTTGCAAATCATGTGATGTCCTTGCAACAAAAGCAGACTTACCTAGACAACGGATGGATCAGCTACAGCCCTTCCCACAGAATCAAGTTGCCTTCCCTTAGCCACCAGCATCACTTTCATGTTATCCAGACTGTTTCTCTCCCATGTTCCTATCTCTGCAACACTCTGAAAAAGTAACAGCATTACACACAATAAGGTTTAATAAGAACAAATGAATAGTATAGCAGTATGCTGATGACAGTCTAGGCTCAAGCCTCTGTGATATCTCATCTCGAAGAGTAAGACAAAACCAGACTTCTTTTTTAAGTAGAACTTTTGGAAATTAGCCTCTAAAAATATTCCCCAATGAAGAAAGGACAGAAATGATGACTATTCACAGTTAGTTTCTTAGCCCAAGTGGCTCTCATCAGGCAGACAAACGTTCTCTGAGAGAAAAAAAAAAACAAACCAGGCTCAGCTATGCTAGTGGTTCTATGAACTGTAGACTGTGGTACCATTATGTAACATGATGTGTATTATCAATCAATACAGTACCATAAATATTACCAGTAACTATAGTTTTTCTTTATAATTATTAATACCTCTCTTTATGTTTTATCTTAAAGCATAAAGATTATATAATACCCTATTCATTCAGAAAACCCTTTTAAGATGACAGGTGAGCAACCCTATCTAAGAATCTGTGTGTGAGGGGGGACCTTAAACAATTACACCAGAGAAGACAAATTACAAGCTCTTGAAAGCAATGTGAAACCTTATGAAATATGAAATGGTTTTTAAAGGTTTCTTTCAATAAGCTTCTCATCTTTATCCTCAAAAGCCAACCAGAGCTTTAAAAAAAAAGTACAAGATTTGAGGTTCGAGGGGATGTTTCAGCAAAAATTAGGGATTAAAATTCTAATTTTTTCAGCATTCTAATTAGATCCTCTTTGCATTTTCAGTGAAAAAGGTACAGACCCTGATGGAGAAACATTAAGCTATTGGATTTCATGTTTCATGTTGCTATTTCTGAATCAATTTTTTAAAGGCTGGCTTGTTAGTAATACCTACTGCAAAAGATGGGGGAAAGAAATGTAAAAAAGTTAAAAAAAAAAAAAAAAAGGTTAAAATCATCCATAAACTTTCCAAACAGTTTTTCACACTCTTTGGTGTAGTTCCTTCCAATCTCATCTCCCGGTGTATTGTGTGTCTGTGATTACAGTGTATTCTGCAATTTTATATCCTGCTTTTTTAGAATTTGCTCAGACTGAAAAGTGTGAAGGAAACCAAGGTAGGCATCTAACGAAAGTTATTACTTAAAACTTCCACTGTACCAGGCGTGGTGGCTCACCTTTGTAATTCCAGCATTTTGGGAGTAGGATCACTTAAGCTCAGGAGCTTGAGACCAGCCTGAGATAATGAGATCTAGTCTCCAGAAAAAAAAAATTAGCTAGGTGTGGTGGTGTATGCCTATAATCTCAGCTACTCTGGAGGCTGAGGTGGGAGGATGGCTGCAGCCCAGGAGATCAAGGCTGCAGTCTGGGTGACAGAGCAAGAACCTGTCTCAAAAATAAAAAAGCAAAAAATAGAGCTTGTGCTGCAATAAAAAGTGTGACATTATTTAACAGTTATCCTATTACTGGACGTTTATGTTGTTCCCAATTTTTAATTTCCTTAAACCATACTGAAAAACATATTTTTACATTCCATTTCCTTGAATATTAGTAAATAAAAATTGTTAAATCAAAGGATATGACAAAATTTAGAACTCTTCAATCATACTGCAATATATTTTCCCAAAAGTTGCACAAATTTATATCCCAACCATTGAAATGTAAACTCTACTCTTGGTAATCTTGCCAATAGTTATTTCAGGACCCAAGTTAATCCACAACATTGGGAAAAGAACAGGAATCCTGGCTTCTTTTTTAAAGTTCTACAACTCAGGTTAGAGATTAGTGAATGATTTTATGCTACTTCGTAAATTAACAAGCTTATCTGTTCAATCAACAAATATATCCAAATATATTACCTCTACTATACGCAGGTACTGGGGATATAGTCGCTTTGTTTTTATGCTGTCATCTTTTTTTGTGGTTTTTGAGATGAAGTCTTGCTCTGTTGCCCAGGCTGTGTAGTGCTGGATCTTGGCTCACTGCAACCTCCACCTCCCGGGTTCAAGCAATTCTCCTGCCTCAGCCTCCCGAGTAGCTGGGACTACAGGCGCGTGCCACCATGCCCGGCTAATTTTTTGGTATTTTTTAGTAGAGATGGGGTTTCACCATGTTGGCCAGGCTGATCTCGAACTCCTGACCTCAGGTGACCCACTTGCCTTGGCCTCCCAAAGTGTTGGGATTACAGGCGTGAGCCACTGCACCCAGTCCCGATATCTTTAATATGTTCTTGATTCACCTTTTTCCCCCTATAGTCTGAGCTATGTGGTCAGTACATTTATTAATATTTAAGAAACTGACCTAGTTTCACTTTTAATGGGTAACACACACAGTTCAAAATTCAAAAGGTAGGTTATTTTTATTAATATTAGCATTAATACTAAGATTATAAGGTATCTAAATGAAGATGTTAAGCTGAAAGTTAAATATATAAAACTAGAGTTCAACATGCCAGGATTAGAACTATAAATCTTAGGGGTATACACATTGTTTTTAAAGATTTCTTAAAAGAGGTTAGAGAAGACAGCCTAGATTACAGTTCTAGAGCACTCTACTAAATCTGGGAAGTCAAACAAAGGAGAATAAGAAGGACTAGCTAGAGATGAGGGAGAAAACCTAAGACGTGTTAACTAAGAAGCACAAGAGGGTTTTTTCAATGAGCATTAAGTAGTTAACTATGTTGAAAACTGCTGAGAAGGTAAGATAACTGAGAAGTGACTATGTAATCTGGTAATATGGAGAACAACTGGTGCCTTTAACAAAAGTAGTTTTGGTGGGAGTAGTAGGGGCAGAAGTCTTACTGAAACAAGTACAGAATTAGAAGTAGGGAAGAAAAGACAAACTACAGGCCGGGCCTGGTGTCTCACGCCTGTAATCCCAGCACTTTGGGAGGCCAAGGCAGACAGATCACCTGAGGTCAGGAGTTTGAGACCAGCCTGGCCAACATGGTGAAACCCTATCTCTATTAAAAATACAAAAATTAGCCGGGTGTGGTGGAAAGCGCCTGTAATCCTACCTACTTGGGAGGCTGAGGCAAGAGAATCGCTTGAACCCAGGAGTTGGAGGTTGCAGTGAGTCAAGATTACACCAATGTACTCCAGCCTGGAGCAAGGCTTCGTCAAATTAAAAAAAAAAGAGAAAAGAAATGACAACCTACAGATACTTTTTTCACGAAGTTTAGCTTTCAAATTAGAACAAAAGGACCAAGTGCAGTCAAGATAGTTGTTACACAGAATACAACTGTATTCTGATGTTGGACTGAGAAATATTGGTGAATAAATCAAATTGTGATAGTGGGGTACAAAGTTTAGTAATTTAGTGCCTGTCTTCTAATTGATTATACATCAACCTATGGTTAATAACTTCTGGAATCCCTCCCCATTTGGTTTGTCAAGAAAATAAGAAAATCGCCAACTCTGCTATCACCTTTTTGGTCCTTTTTGGAGCAAAATAAAGACAGTCATGTACCACATAACATTTTGGTCAACAGAGTGCATATACGGTAAGTCTGTAAGATGACACCACCATATTTTTACCGTACCTTTTCCATATTTAGATATGTTTAGATACACAAATACTTGCCATTGTTAAAATTGTAGTATATTCAGTACAGTAACATACAGGTTTGTGTATTTTCTATGATGCTCACACGAAATCACCCAAACTGCATTTCTCAGAACTCTGTCATTAAGCAACACATGACTGCACATCATCAGCTCTTTTCAATTTTCCTTCTTTGTAATGGGTTATACCATATGTACTATTTTTACACTAAAAACGAGAAGATACGGAATAAAAATAAACACAATTTTAACAGCTATTTTAACTGAAGTGGCATTTTCGCATGTTTTCATCGTCTGCTGAGTATCTTTAAATAGCACAATACCTTAGTAAATTAAAGGAAAAAATACCTGAGGGTAGCAGCAAATCTAAATGCAGTTAGGAAGACCATGGAAGATCTGCTTGAGATTTCAAGAATTTTGAATACATATGAAAATTTTGTCTATTGGTGTACAGCTTTATGACCAAGGAATTCAGCTTTGTCATCAGTTATTAGAAAGCTGTGCAAGGAATTGGTTTTATCCATAGCTCTAACAGTGGAGAGCCGCTTACAGAAAGAACCATCAGACGTGTTTATATAAATTTTTTTTAACAGCCCTAATGCTTTGGCATTGGTGTTTATTTATGCACTCCTTATTTATAGCTTTGATAGCTTTAATTTTCTAGTTTATCATGTCCCTATCTGAAAAATGTAGTTGTATGCCTTGACATTTCCATTAAAAACTTGAATTTTGAATTATTTATGCATAACTATGGAATTTGTTACACTAGGCTGAAAGTTGACAGGATTTCGGCTACCATCTGTAAATTTTCATTTAGATTATGTATCTCATAGTCTTGTTTTTTAAAAGAACAGGGGAAACATTTCTTGTAATCTGCTGTTTAACAAGTTTTTTAAAGTTTGTCAGGCAGTTAACAGTGAGCCAGATCATTTTTGTATTGATTGAAAAACTCAGGTTTCAGTATTAATGACAGAGCTTAGCTTAGCATTACTTGTAGTTTGAATCATTTAACTCTAAGGAAAATATTGGTTAAGAATGTTTTCTAAGTTTTATCCCCTATAAATGAAGACCTAAGAAAATGTATAAAATGAAATACGGTGAATGTGCAAAATGCCAGTTGACTTTTATTACATAAAATTTAAATGTGTACTTAATAAATCTTGAGTGGTTACTTGATAAATCACTAGATAGGTGGTATGTTTCAACAGTTATTTAATGCTTTCTGAAGAAATAAGAATTTCTGGTCATTAAAAACTAATATGTTCTGCATCAAGAATTACGGCTTTCTAAAATTATTTTAACTCTTCAAGTTTCAACTCATTGATGACTCAAGAATTTTAGAAAACTTAGGATAGCATTCTGTTCCTGTAACGATCTCAATGAAGTTTTTTTGCAAGACTAAAATGTATTTGATTTGTTCCTTAAATTACAGATTTTGTTAGATGCCATT